CCCCGGTGAAAGTAACCTTGACCCCCCCTTACATTTCAAGTAGAGAATTGCAATTCATTCTCCAAGGAACTGCTTTGAAGAATATTCAGAATCTTGATGCAAAGTGTATCAGCCTAGTTACTGGCAGGTGGGAGTCACTGTGTGCACATTCCAGTAATGCTGTAGGCCAGTGATGGCTAACCTTTTTGGCATGGCGTGCCGAAAGCGCGCGCACCCCCATAATGCAGTGCACGCACAACTCCCGGTGTCCCATTGCACATATGCGTGTGACCCCCTGCATGGGCCATTCTCCTGTGCACCGCTTGGAGAGTCCAAGCATGGGTTATTTCAGTCTGCTTGCCCTGGACTGAGAAGTCTTTTCCCTGGCCACGCTTCCTTGTGTGGCCACGTCCTCCAGAAAAAATTCTCAGTCCAGCCTGATCGGATTGAATTCTGTGAGCTCCAGCTACTTGGTTTTTTCCCCTTTGGCTTGGACTCTCCAATTCTGGTCTTTTCCCTCTTTAAACTCCTTTTCCTTTTTTCTTCCTTCTTCTTCGTCCCTGAGCAGCCTGGATTGCTGCATTTAAGCCTCTCGGAGGCTGGGAGGCAGATGGGTGAGTTGGGGAGGGCTCTCCAGGCCGCGTGCTCGCAGCTGGCTTCAGAGGCCTGCCACTTGTCTTTTACAGGCGCGGCGATTGGCGGCGAGGCTTTTATGAGACGCAGAGAAACTGCGCTGGCCATTTTTATTGTTTTTCTGCAGTTTCTTCGTTTCTGGCCCCAGTAAGCGTGTTACCTGCCGCAGAGGTGAGCGGAGGTGGCGGTTTTAGCCGCACGTGTCCCACGCTCGTCCTCTCTCCCTCCCACGCTGTTGTGGTGGCCATTTTGGGCGAAGGTGTTTTCGCGCCCTTTTAGGCCCTGGCCTCCGCCTCAGCTCCATCTCGTCGGGCAGCCGCTGGGTGGACAGGAGGTTCAGCAGGGGCTTTCATCCATCCCTCAACTGTCCCTTGGCCATCCTCATTGATCACCATGTGGTGCTAGCGCCAGTGCCATCCTTGGCCTGCGCCCTGGCACAGAGAGGCTCCGGGGCCTGCATGATTGGCGATTTCAAATTTCCCCCTATTTTTCCTCGCTGGCTCCTGGGTGGCCCTCTGATTTCCCAATTGGTCTCGCTGATATACCGCAGATTCCTTGGCCTCCCCCTTCTCTGCTCTGTCTCTGCCTCTGTTTTCTCTGCCCATGTATTCACGTTTATTGTGCCTAGGATCATGGAGTGCTTCAACTTATGTTTTTCTCTTTTTTTCCTTTGTTGCAGAGTAGCCAGTCAGAGCTTTCCTGTTCTTCTGCCAACTTGCCTGATCTGCCTGTGTGATCATTCACTATGGATCCCTCTACTCAGGTTCCCTTGCTGGTAGACAGGGTCCCCCGCAGGTTCCAAGTGTGGGTCCCCCCCGCTGTGGAGGATGGTTCAGGTAGGGTGCGGGTGGTCAGCCAGGGTAAACACCCCAAGACCTCCTCTGTGGCCGAGGCTAGGGACGCCGAAAGGCACCAGAGGGCCCTTGACAAGCAATTTGAGAGGGCCAGGCGCCT